CTCTGTCTGTCTGTCTGTCTGTCTGTCTGTCTGTCTGTCTGTCTGTCTGTCTGTCTGTCTGTCTGTTTGTCTTTGTGTATATATAATATATGACATAGTATTACATATTCAGAGACAGACACAGTTAGATAGACACACAGACAATGAAAGACAGAGAGAAAAAAGCGATGGCAAGACAGTAGATAAAACAAATCATGCCCTATGTTGGCAATACAGTAAAGTAAGTTCATGTTTAATTATTCTGACAATACTCTCTTTGTTACAGTTAGGACATAATAATTCCTTTATGCCCCCCCCCCCCTTCCAAATCAATTACAAGAGTGTATTATGATGCGCTCTCTCATTGTTGTGTGGAAAAATTTACTATACAGTAATTCTTGGAATCAATAATAGATCTAATGCTGTTCTTTACGGCAGTTAAGTACCTCTACGTGATGTTTGAAATGCTAACATAAAAGGCTTTTCAATTGCACAGTAGAATTATAATTCTTTTAGTACTGTGATTGCGTCATAAAAGTCATTCTATATTTCACCTGGGTGAAACCATGCGATAAAGTCTCTTCGTTTTGCTCGAGGGAGATACAGTTGGCAAAGACCCGTTCACCACACTGAATTTATTCAAGCACGTGTTTTTTTCGCCTCTTTGCGTACTAATAGGCTAGACCATTTCAATTCGTTTGATGTCTAATATTAGGAGATGTTATTAAGATGTAAATGAGAACCTTTTAGTTTTTAGATTAACAACCCTCGTGTCACTAATCGTCTAAATAGTGTATTCTCATTTGTGAAATGGTCTCGGTTTAACGGCCCTATCAATTCTGCTGGGTTAAATAACTGTAAGAGGCGGGACCTCTGAGTTTGACATCCATCTCTCACATTTTTTAAGAGAAAAAAATTACCTGCCTGCATGAAACAATGAAAGTTTGAACTTTTTTCGAGGGAAAGTAGACATAATTAATATGCCTTTTATTAGAAGAATTCAAAAACTAAATTCGCAACCTGTTTGTGCAGAAAGGTCTTTTACAGCGGAGCACTCTTTTTTTTGTTTCTGGGAAAATTGGAGGTAACGTGTGTGTGTGTGTGTCTGTGTG